GGCAGGGCATATCTATAACACCCCCCCCACCCCCCACACACTGTTCTAATCCAGCTTCTCCTCCTTCACAGTCTGTTGACTCCAGTTTGGGAGGCCTGTCCAGATCCAGCACCGTCGCCAGCCTCGATACCGACTCCAACAAGAGTTCAGGTCAGAGGGGGTGGGGGGTCAAAACGCACCGAACCTGGGCGCAGTCTGACCGAAGGTGTGATTCCCTGTAGGAAACAACACGTCTGAAACATGCGCCGAGTTCCGTGTGAAATATGTTGGATCCATCCAGAACCTGCAGTTTGAGATGAGCAGAACCCTCCAGGAACCGTTGGAGCTCATCAGCTACATCGATGCTGCTCAGGTTAGACGACAGGTGCTGCTGAACAAATGGATCCTCAGAACCTCACAGCATCATTTTTAAATTATTTATGACGTGAGATTTAGACCTGGGGTTCCCAAATTATAATTATTGTGACATTGTTCCTGGAGATAAATGTAGCGTACAGAATCTAATATGAAATGTTAAAATGCACCATCATATAAAGAGATGTTTATTTATTGATCTATTACATGATTTAACACCTGTACCCACTCCCGAGAGGGAACGCCTATTAAATGTGTGCGATTAAAAGTTTCTGTTTGCGTCGCTCATACACGCTTAGTTTCCAAAAGAAGATTCGCAATTTTTCCTCTATGTCTCACCACCGGTAAGTGAAAAGAGCACGTAGGACGGCCTGAACGTAAACATATCACCAGAATGATTGACAGTTAGGAGGACCACTTATTGAGATGATCCACCAGGAAAAACCACATCCTTCACTACAGCTTTAAATCTACCAATAAACTGTAAAATGCACCAATTAAACAACTAAAATATTGATTCGTAAAAAAAAAACAATTTTTATTTTAAACAAATCTAAATGTATTTAATAAAAAAATTTATTTTAATCAAATACAATTTGTGTAATTGTAATTTTACAAAAAAAGTATTTATTTTACAGGCTGAAATATATAATTTGGAGTCTCTACAAGAAGGCACAGCTACTAGTTATGATTGCTAAAGCAGATGTTGGCTGTTTAGAGATTCCTATGTTAGCATATTATGGTCAAAATTAATAACTTCCAATAATCTGAAGCAAGTTTCCTACAAAGAAGACAGGTGGCTTAAAGGAATAGTACACCCAAAACATGATAAGCCTTCATTTTCTACTCACCCCCATGCTGAACAA